GATTCTGATGAGAAACCCTAGACCAGCTACAGGGCATACAGATCCATCAAGAAAATCCAAAAACTGGGCTTACCTGAGAGCTTCGATCAGCCTCTTAAATCTCCATKCAGTYGGCCGATCTAGGGCTGCAGGAGTGAATCTCTTCAAGAACCTTCAACCTGCTCTGATACCAAGTAGAAAGCCTTGTGTGCTGATTCGGCCAAGCTTCTTGTGAAAGGAAGAGGAGAAAGTTGGGGGTTTCAGCAATAGACAGAGGAAAGGGAAGAAAAGGAGAAGAAGGTCGACTAGGATAGTGATTCATAACCCTAGCCGCCAGCCCCTCATTCTATTTATAATTAACTTAGATATGAGATATTACAAAGATGCCCCTAGTAGGGCAGCAACTCAAACTAAGTACTTACAATTCTTTTAAAAAATAAAAACTAATGGGCCCAAGGCCCAACAACTTCTTAATTTAAAAGAAAACAAGCTAAACATAAATCGGCCCACTCAACAATAATAACAATACCAAAAATAATAGGAGACAGGAATAATGATAATAACAATAAGTGTTCCATGTTAGCATGGACTCTCCTTGCAGCTAAATGGCTTATCTTTTTTCTCCAATTGTTGCATTTTTTTGTTTTTTCTAAGAATAAAAACCACATAGATCAGACACATGAATTGATTGTACACATGTATTGGTTATAGGGAAGAGTGAAAATACTCCTTAGGCCATTTCGTTTTTCAATGCCCAATGCTCATCCCCCTTTCCATCGTTAACGAGAGAGAGAGAGAGAGAAAGACCTCCACCCCTTCCATTATTAGCCTACATTAGCATATGAGAGTGAGAGAGAAAATTTAAAATCATATTCTAAAACCTGCCCCAATCCCTCCATCATTAGCCTATTTTTGTGTTTAAGGTGGGATTTGATTGCAAGTCTTCCTACAACCATTCAAATTAGCTAAAAAAATTATAAAAAGTAAAAATTATTAAAAGTAATAAAAATAAACCATTTGTAATCCATATAAAAAAACAAAAACCCTGGAAATGGCCTCTTTGTATGTGTAGGGTTAAGGCTATGTACATCTATCCCTCCCCAGACCATGCATTGGCAAGAGCTCATGCATTGGGCTGCCCTTTTTTATAAAAGTAACAATGGCTCAATTGGAATTGTCATAAGGCTCCTTCTTCTTAGGGATGATCATTTATGATCCAACCTAACCGAGCTCGCAAATTTTTTGGACCAAGCCAAAATGACAATCCCTTTTTCTATTTAAATTATAAATAAAAATTAATATAACTTAATAGTATTTAGTAAATAAATATAATTTAGATAATAAAAATAAAGTGTTATTTAAAAATATTATTACTAAATAATAAATAATAATTACTAATTAATAGTGAATACTAAAAACAAGTAATAAACATAAATATAAACGCTTTATTTATAAATACAAAATAAAAATAAAAATTTGTGTGTGGTAAAAAAATAACCACTAAAAATAATTATTATCTAACTTTATTTTTATATATGATTAACTTATTAAATAATAAGTAATAACAAATAAATAATTAAAAATAATAAATTATTTAAAACAATAAATCAAAAAAATAGAAATATTATTTATATAATATAAAAATAATAAAATATTTATAAAATAAAAATAATAAAAAGTAAAAACCAAATAACGAAAATCATAAATAACAAAAAATAATATGAATTTAAAATGCATTATATTTTTTTCCAAGAGCAATATAATATACTTTGCCTTACATTAATTTGAAATACATTATTGTTGACTTACATTAATTTATGATTTCTTCCATTATTTTGTTCCAAAGACAATTGATGTATGGTTTTCAATTCCTTTTAATCCCTTTTATCATCATATTGGAAGTCGGTTTTTCTCATCCATCACACGAGTCCCCTGCTAGTAAACAAAAAAGTAGAGTATTCAATACATATTGTCACATTAGAATGTTAAGAGTAAAGTACCCAGCCAACAGTTTTTGCAATAACTGAAATAAACATTTGAGCTTCTCCAACAATCATGACATTGCACTTTTGTCTCACTGGGCACATGATGAATCCAGGGGATCAAATTGTTCCAGATGGCCAAGTACTCAACAGTGAGAACAGATGCAAATAAGAATACAAAAATAGGCCACAATTTGCGTATAACACGCTGATCCAAAAGAATACAGGCAGCAAGTGATGCAATATATAACATTGAGATTGCATTTAATATGGCAAAGCTTGCAAGAAGTAATGCAATCATGTTAATATGAAGGCCCAGGAGTTTGAATATATTCTCTATCCAAAACTTCAAATATATCTTCAAGGTAGCCTTCTGCATGTCAAATCTTTCCTTCCTTAAGGCAATAATTCGCTTCTTATTCCACTTATGACTCTCTTTAGAACTTCCCCAGAAATACCCAAATGAATATCTACTGGTGCTATTATTCTGTGTACCCATTTCGGAAGAAACAGGATCAGTTCCTTGATACATAGCAGACAATAGGCTTGAATCTGTTAATGGTTTAGGTTCTTCAGCACAAATGGAAACACCAGCTAAGATGTCTTCTCTTGAAATAAACAATGGGCAAGACTCTTCCCATTTTCCTGCATTAACAAGAATACGAGGCATTGTTTCCAACCAATGGAAGACATTGTACTGAAGAGTACATGCTACTATCACAAGAACTTCCCCCCTCAAGCCCAATTCTAGACCCCAAAATCCAGGTTTAAATAACTGGAAACCCAGAAAGAGGGACAAAGTAGAATGCCGTTGACCAGGAAACATCTCTGCTTGTTTACCCCACATTTGAAACAGATATTCACTTGTCACCAGAAATCCTGTATAAACTAAGAATATTTTGGATGGGGCCCGAGAAGCTTTAGGCAAAAGTAAACAGACGATGAGGCCAACAAGATACAAAAGTCCAAAAGCACTAATTGGAGATAAGGATGCATAAAATACTGCTAAATATAAGATCTTATCACTGTGCCAAATCAGAGCCCGTCTGATAAAGCCAAGCGCTCCAAATTCTGATGGGTCTGGATCATCTGATGTATTAAACTTGTTCTGTCTCCTTTCATAGCTAAAAAGTTGCATCACAATCAAAACAGCTAGCGATTCCCAAACATTTTCCAACAATGAGGCTTCTGGGTTGTATCCCAAGTCAGGATACAAATTTATCATCCTGGACAACCATGTCTTGAAAGTTGAGAAAATGTTCAAGCTATAAATGAAAATAAAGACAGTAACTGCATAAACTTTCAAAGGAAACCATAAGCGCCTTTTTGTCTTCTCCGCAAGCTGTCTTCCTATAATCCAGACCAGAAGGAAGAAAAGATACCCAAATGATATATAATTAGGAGTAACCAGGTACACAGTGAGTAGAATAGTCAGGAAAGAAATGTACGTTCCAAATGAGCGATATGCAGAAAGAAACTTCTGTCCCATTGCAGTGAGATATGTTGCTATTCTTCTCTCTAAAAGATGATCAAACAAAAAATAAGTATAGTTCCTTATTGTCACAAAAGTTGGTTATTGGTCAAGTACAGTGCTAATGACATAAGACTAAATTCACAAAAACTAAGCATATAGTTACCAACAAGCGTAATATCAAGACATGGCTCAAAGAATAGGTACACATTGTTAGATGGGACTATTGATACAGAGTCCCTAACCTGTGAATAGGTGCATATTGCCACATGTTCATGTCATTATGTTTACAGAAGTCAGAACATAGCATATCAGACACCTCCAAAGGTTAACTGACCAAGGAGCAACAAAACCAGATGAAAATGTAGAGATAATGAGTCGAATGGGCATCAGTTTTTATTTTTCTTTATGTTTATGACTTGTGTTAGTAGGTAGGGGGCCTTAGTTATGGGCCTGTTTTCTCTTCTGTTATTGTTTTTTATTGCTGTCTTTAGTGATGGACACCCCACTAAGGGCACTCATGTAATTGTATACATTGTGACTCATGTAATTGTCTACATTTTGAACTATTCTCTCTTCTTCCTTTTCTTCCATCTTCTTCCTCCACTTCTCTCTCTTCAATCTCCTTTTCTCCTGTTTCTTTTCTTCTAATTCAGATTATTGCATGTGTTATTTACTGTGTTTGGGTCATTATCGTTTTGTTTCCAGGCTTCCAGCATTGTTTAAAGAAACTAAGTTGTCAAATCAGCATTGTGAGTCATGGGAGTTGTCAAAGCATGAAACTCTTATTATGCAAGTAATAAAAGATCTACAGTTCCTTTTCATATTGTTCACTCTAATGTGTGGAGATCATACCATTGACCTTGCATGGGTGGTTATAAATATTTTATTCTGTTTATTGATGATTTTTCTCATTATACCTGGATTTATCTTATGTGTTCCTGTGTTGAAGTACCCAAACTTGTAAAACATTTCATGAATTTATGCTTACCCAATTTGATACCCACATCAAGATATTTCTATCAGATAATGCTAAGGAATATTTTGAGAAGGATCTTGTTAAATACTTTGAAAAGTTTGGGGTTACACATCAAAGTTCTTGTCTCCGTACTCCAAAACAAAATAGGGTAGCAGAGAGAAAGAACGAACAAGTTGTTGAAGTAGCCAGGAGCATCCTTTTTGCCACCCATGTTCCAATGAGATTTTCGTGTTATGCAGTGATGACCATAGTTTTCAAGGTGCCAAGGCAAGGCTAGGTGATGAGGGGATGCCTGGTCACCTAGTCGCCTAGGTGATAGATTTTTTTTATGTAGAAAACATAGATCCTAGGGTAGTTCCCTAGGTACCATAACCATATTTCCTTAATAATCATTCATAATTTTCATAAGAAAAGTATAGAGTACATGTTGAAGTATAGAAAATCAACATATTCATGAGAGGAAAAGAAGGAAAAGAAAATTCAAAAAATCAGGGATTGTGTGAGATTTGAATTTTCTCTCACAATCAAGGATTTGAATTTTCATGTTCCTGCCAACGGCTCGCGATGTGTGGGAAGTAGTTAGGGAAACCTATTCGGATTTGGACAATCATTCACAATTGTTCAAATTGAATACCCGAATGTGGAAGATGCAACAAGGTGAACGTGAAGTAACAGCTTATTATAACGAGATGATGGTTGTTTGGCAGGAGTTGGATTTATTTGAAGAAGAATGGGAAAGTCTGAGTGACAGTGCTCGGTACAAAAAGAAGATAGAAAGAGGCCGGGTATTTGTTTTCTTGGCTGGTTTGAATAAAGAACTCGATGAGGTTCGGGGACGTATCTTAGGGCGAAAGCCCTTGYCGACTATAAGAGAAGTTTTTTCWGAAGTGCGTAGAGAAGAAGCACGGCGGCAAGTGATGTTGAAGAATGTTAGTGAAACAAAAACAGAGAATGAGGGGTCTGCTCTTGTGGCCCGAGGTGCAGCCTTAGAAGGAGATAGACGAGGAGGAAAGCAGAGGCCTTGGTGTGACCATTGTAGAAAGCCGTGGCATACCCGGGAAACCTACTGGAAGTTGCATGGGAAACCGGCGGGTTGGAAGAAAAAACCAGGCAGTGACAACAAGTCAGGGGGAGATGTCCGCGCATTTCAAGTGAGCAATTCGGATCCAGGGAAGCAATCATCCTTAGAGTCCCTTCCTTTCACAAAGGAACAAATAAAGCACTTATATAAAATGTTTCAATCTCAATCCTTAGGAAATTCTAACCCATCCTGTTCTCTAGCTCAGTCAAGTAATTTTTTCACGGCAGCCATTGCTTGTACCAAGTCTAATGGCTCCTGGATATTAGATTCAGGTGCCACTAACCATATGACCTACACTTCACAATTCTTTTCTTCATATACACCTTGTGCAGGGAATCAAAAGGTTAAAATTGCAGATGGTTCATTTGCTATTGTTGCTGGGAAAGGAACAGTGTCTATTTCTCCTTCTCTAAACCTTAAAGATGTTCTGCATGTTCCTAACCTATCATACAATCTGTTGTCTGTCAGTAAACTAACCCTTGATCATAATTGTCGAGTTAAATTTTGGTCTTCTCGTTGTGAATTTCAGGATTTAACCTTGGGGGAGATGATTGAGAGTGCTAAACAAGATGATGGCCTCTACCTCTTTAATAAAGGATCAACCTTTGGAAGGCAAGACCGACAGACTTGTTTCAATTCTATTTCTGTTTTTAGTGATAGTGAAATTTTGTTATGGCATTATCGATTAGGACATCCTAGCTTTCAATATTTAAAGMATYTATTTCCCAAGTTATTCATGAATAAAAATCATTCAGTTTTCCAGTGTGAATCTTGTGAATTAGCAAAACATCATCGTGTTGTTTTTCCGTCTCAACCATATAAAAAATCAAAACCATWTACCATGATTCACAGTGATGTTTGGGGTCCTTCTAGAGTRACAAYTYTTTCTGGAAAGCGTTGGTTCATTACTTTTATTGATGATCATACTAGGGTCACTTGGGTTTTCCTTTTAAAAGAGAAATCTGATGCTGAAACTGTGTTYAAAAATTTCTACAACATGGTTCAAACACAATTTCAGACTCAGATTAAAATTTTTCGAAGTGATAATGGAAAGGAATTTTTTAACAATGTGTTAGGGAATTTTTTTGTTGATAAAGGAATTGTACACCAAAGTTCGTGTAATAATACACCTCAACAAAACGAGGTGGCTGAAAGGAAAAACAAACATCTCCTTGAAGTTGTTAGAGCTCTAAGTTTTAAAACTAAAATTCCTAAGTATCTTTGGGGGGAAGCCGTTTTAACAGCCACTTATTTGATTAACAGACTGCCTACACGAATTTTGGATTTTAAAACACCCATACAGGTTTTCACTGAYTGTTTTCCAAACTCTYRGCTAGTGACAAACATTCCCTTAAAAATTTTTGGAAGTGTGGCCTTTGTTCATAACCATGATCCTAAACGTTCAAAACTTGATCCAAAAGCACATAAATGTATTTTTGTAGGCTATCCCACTAACCAGAGAGGTTACAAATGCTTTGATCCAGTTTCGAAAAAGATGTTTGTGTCTATGGATGTCACCTTCTTTGAAGGAGCCTCATACTACAGCAACTCCCATCTTCAGGGGGAGAGCAACACTAGTGAAGATGGTTTTTTAGATGGTTCTAATTTAATGTTTGAATTTGTCCATAATGATGTTCCTCACAACCGGTCACCGAAAGAAAGTGAGGCAGAAAATATAAAATTAGTGGAAACAAATGAATTAAATATTGAAAATTTTGATTCTACCAATGAACAACCTTTGGTAATGTCATCTCAAAATGAAAAAGCTAAAACAACGGAGATGCGTGTGAAACGGTATAAAGGTCTTGTATATTCGAAGGAATATCTAGCACAGAAAAGGAGAGGCACTATTCCGCAGCATCAACAAGAATCTGATCAGAGGTTGGATCATGAAATTCATGATAATTCTTCAAAAGTTCCTGAAAATATTCCTCCAAGTAATTCTGAGTCAAATTCTTCTAGTCAGCTTGATCTTCCCATTGCTCTTAGGAAAGGTGTTAGGTCTTGTACAAAACATCNTCCATTCCTAACAGTATCCAGGAGGCTCTAAATGTTCCCGAGTGGAAAGAAGCTATTTTTGAGGAGATGAGAGCTTTGGAAAAGAATGCTACTTGGGAGAAAGTGGATCTGCCGGATGGGAAGACAATTGTTGGTTGTAAATGGGTGTTTACTCTAAGTACAACTCATATGGATCCTTGGAGAGATACAAGGCTCGCCTAGTAGCTAAAGGCTTTACTCAGACATATGGAGTGGACTACTCTGAGACCTTTTCTCCAGTGGCGAAGCTAAATACAGTTCGAGTACTTTTATCTGTTGCAGCTAATCTTGATTGGCAACTGAATCAGCTGGATGTGAAGAATGCCTTTTTGAATGGAGACTTTGAGGAAGAAGTATATATGGAGCCTCCACCTGGTTTCACTGAGAAGTTTGGAACTAAGGTATGCAAGCTAAAAAAGTCTATATATGGACTTAAACAGTCTCCCAGAGCCTGGTTTGAAAGATTCACAAGGTTYGTTAAAAGTCAAGGATATAGTCAAGGACAATCTGATCATACTCTTTTCACAAAGAGATCCACCAAAGACAAGGTCTCGGTTTTGATTGTCTATGTGGATGACATAATCTTAACTGGAGATGATATTGAAGAGATGAGCAGACTAAAGCAGAGCCTAGCCAAGGAATTCGAGATTAAAGACTTAGGCCAGCTAAGGTACTTTCTTGGAATGGAAGTGGCAAGATCAAAGAAGG